AGTTTTAACAAATGCAACCATGCAGTGGTCTAAGAGGCACTAGTTTACACACTAGTATAAATTGGATAATTTGGCTGCATTTTAATTAAAAATTAATTTCTCCAATTTATACAATTCAAGCACAGGGAAGTTCAGAACAGTGGATTTAACATGCTTCTGTGTGGTGCTAAATGATTCATTTTTCAAGTCACCTAGCCCCCAAGTGTTGGTACCCACTCAAGTCACAAAGCAGCAGCTGTCATCTCAGGACACTTCTGGGGAAATTGCATTTATCTGCTAAGAGATCTTTTGGCTTTTTGGGAAGCAGAACATAAGATGACATTCATGAGGGATGTAATTGCTCCACAGTCTCAATTTTCCACAATAATTTATCATCCATTGGCTGCATAATTCTCTTGCTGTCATCACCCCAGAGCAACCAGAGTTACTGGACCTGTGTCACCACTACATGCTTACTCACTTGCCAGGTCCCCTACAGATCCTTGAAGCTGTGGCCCAGGAGGACAGGCTCTTACAACCTTTTCTGTGGTTGTAGTGCTCAGCAAAGGGTGAATCCCACTGGGCATAGTGCCGGGACATGCTGTGCCAGGTCCTAAAACAAGCACTTTCTTGGAGGGATTACGAAGGAGGGCTGCCCAGAGCAGAAACCCTGCTGCTGCCAGACTCCCTCCCCATGACACACCCTCCTGCTGTCAGCAGAACCTATGATTTAGGACAGTTTTAAGGAAAATATTTCTGTGTGTAGCTCACGCACTTGACCGTTTGTCAAAGATGCTGTGGTTTGGTTCTCCAGTCAGTGAGTGTGCCTCACTGCATCGATTGTCTGCCTCATACAGATCTAAAATCCCTCACCTGAAGACGCTCCATCTCCATGTTGTTTTGGGATTGCAACCTCCCTGCACAGCCGAGAGGGAATGGCACATCACTTAGATATTTTGCTGACTTCTGACAGCCTCATAGCACGGGATTCAGTTGTGGGTAAAAGAAAACATGCAGAAGACCTGAGACTTAAAGAAAAAAATGATGGAGAGACAGAAGAGTCAATAACAACTTCATGGTTAAAAATGAAAAAACAAAACCATTTTTTGATACCTACACTCACCCACACTAGAACAGCCCACGTTTCACAGTGACACTTACAGGTGCATTTGGTCTCCCCATCATAGGTTTTCTCCCCAGCTTTTCAGCCACTCCCATCTTTTCAAGGGAAGACTAGAGTGTGATGGCATCTCCTGTGGCTCTCTGGGGTTTCTGGGATGTGTGTTCATGTGCACAGATATGTACATATATCTCATCTGCCCATCTCTGTCCTTCTGCTGCACCTGCCCAAGGCTTGGCAGTCTTTGCCTCATTTTTTCCCAGGAAAAAGCTTCTGATGCCTTTTCCACCCCAGTCTGAAATGGAGACAAAGCCAAGTGCAGTTCTTGGCATGCAGCTATCCTAATGATACTGTGACACAGGGAGGAAACCCATCCAAGAGACATCTGCTCATTTATCACATGACAGGCACTGCTTTTGGAACACCGGATTAGCATAATTTGTCTGCCACAGTATCAGACACTCTTCAGCAGCTCAAAGTTAAACAACATTTCTGCAGAGCTCCATGGGTTTGCTATGTTTTCTTTAAAGTATGTTTCCCCTTTGGAATTTGGGTCTCCATATCCAGGACCCTCATGACTCCAGCACATTAGATGCTGACTGGGAAGGGAAGAGCATTGGGCACAGTTCACACCAGCGAGGAAAATCTCTGCAGGGCTCTCCAGAAGAAAGGCACTAATGATTAACATGAGTGTCTCTGTAGAGAAAACAGCATGAACCACACTGTTCACACTGACTACTCACACATCATCTAACATTTACCTCTTCAAATTATCACTCAGATAAAAACTACTGCAGACTCATAGTCATTATGACAATAGAGAGCCATGCTGAGGTGGGATGCCTCAAGGCTCCTCAGCATTGGCTCTGAATCATATTCCCTCCCAGATGCTACAGCCTCTGGGTAGCTGCTCTTATCTTCAGCAAGCACAGGACTGAAGGAGAGGCCTTCTTCTCAAAGCACAGTCTCTGAGGCATGCAGAGCTCCCCAAAGCCACCACAGCTGACCCCATGGATGCTACACCCCAGACTGGCTGCGTGGGGCAACAGGTCACAGATATGGATGAGCCAGCTCAAGCCTAGAAACCAGGTTGCCCAGCCACAAGGATTTGTGTCTGACTACATGGCCAGCCTTGATTCTGACCTCTAGTGGGGAAGCCCCTACAGCCCAGGAAGCTGCTGGTTCTGTCCTGGGCTGCCCCCAAGAGCAGACTGCCCGATGCCAGTGAAACAAGGGGGTGTGTTTGCTGGGTGGGAGCCTCTGTGTGTGTGCTGTCCCACGGGCAGCCTGCCTGCACAGCTCCATCTGGTTTGGGAAACAAAGCAAACAACACAGCCCACGGCACCATTTCCAAGGAATTGTTGTCACTTGCTCAGTCCAAACTCAAAACAAAATGTCACCACCCACACTATTTGTAAGACAGAACCATACCTGAGCTCAGATTTGAGGACACACAAAACTTCCAGCAGGTACTCACGTCAGACAGCCCCAGGCAGGGTTTCTGGAGGCACCCCAAGGTTAATGGCTACATCTCAGGAGAAGCAAAACTGCTGTAGGGACAACCTGACTCTGGTTAAGTTTCAGAGAACTAAATCAATTCTTCAAATTGACATAATTTAAAAAAATGTAATTTTCAAGGGTTATTCCCAGAGGGAGCCATTTGAAGAGGGGGAATAGTCTATCACCACTTTTGTATTTATCAAGTTTTGGGGTTGGAAATGTTGGGATATCTGCTGACAGTGATTTCTGAGATTCAGCATCTGTGGGCCATACTTCAGGTGTACATCCTTATCCTTGTTATTTGTTTCTCGCTTGTTTTTTTTGGTGAGGACATATTTTAATTGGGGACAGAGGAAAGAAAGAGAGGGCACATTCGTTTATTTATTTTCTGATAGACCATGGAGAAAAAAAAAATTAAGAATGATTAAACCAACAAACTTTCTTTAATAAATTAATAGCAGCATCACAAAACCCTGATGTGAATGACCCAAAGAAAGTTGGGTACGTGACAGTATATAAACATTCACAAAAATGTTGTCACCCACTGGCTGGGAGAGAACACGAGGCGCTGTCGGGCAGCACCCTTGGCTGTTCATCCAAACAAGGGCTGTACATCAGAATGGGTCCAGTTGTGTTGACATATTTACAGTTCTGGTGCCGAATTTTTAAAAAACATTTATAAAAATTCTGAAAATTCTCTGTTCAGTTCCCATTTTTTGCATCCAAATATAGCAGGTTCCCTTTTTTGCCCATACAACAGAACCGACAAGGGTAAGACATGAAGGCTCCTATGCAAAGACAATGCCTGTGTGTAGACTTATACTGAGCTCAGGGATGCTGTGAAAATGAGTTATCCACTCATTATTTACACATGCTAGAAGCTACTGTAATTCAACTTATTGCTAAATGCTTTCAAAGTCTGTGGTTGGCTCTTAAATATATATATATGTGTATATATATAAGTACAAACTCACACATATATATACATACACACATATACATGTTTGGAAAAGGTGTGCTATAAATTCACTAAAGGAAAAAAACCCCAAGTTAAAAAGCAATGTGACGGGTCTGATTTTTTCTGTACTGTTTGAGATAATGAAATCTGACTCAGGGTAAAGAGAAGTCACTGAAGGACCAAGTTTATGCCTCTGGCCAGTCCTTTTCCTACTGATTACCTGACGTTTTTGGAGAGGCAAGTAGACTCCAGAGCATTCAACCCATGCTGGTATCTGCAGGCTGGCACATGGAGCATCTCTGCTGCCTTCTTCAAGCAGCAGAGGCTTAGGATACCTCTGCACTGGGATACCTTGTCTGCCTGCATGGAAGTACTACGGATTATTCCCAGGAGGGGATGAGGGAGAAAAGAGGACCATCTTCAACACATCAGTCTGGGGTCAAGCCAGCAGCAGAGACAACTCCTGTGTTGTGTTTTAGTAGTGGCCTCAGCAAGGTTGTTGCTGCACACAGCAGTGCAACAGCAGTCACCTAAAGCATTAGCAGAATTTTCTGTTTCTTCTAGAAGGTAATTTTAATGGAATGAACACAGCAAGCTTAGAGTACAAGCAATTCATGTTAATAAAACGCGATTTAACCATGCCCAGTGTAATGTTCTCTGTTCTGATGATTATCATAGCCAGAGGCTGTCAGTGATGCTAAATGCATCCATGTTAGATGGGCACTGCAGCATCTGTGTAGTAGTTAATGAAGATATAAAAACCTTATGGGTGATATCTGGCATTAGACAATACTCCACACAAGGAAATTTGCATGAGAGGCATCACCCCAGAGGCACAGTGCCAGAAAGACACGGTGCCTTGGGGAGTTTGTGTACTCAAGAACGTAGAGGAAAATTAATTCAAATTGTACCTGGTGTGTATTAAAAGCAGATTACTTAAACTGCATTCCATCCCAATGTGGATGCTTTCATTAAAGATATAAGTGGTAATATGATACACCGTAATTTACTTAGGGAGTAAAATGGAATATTTCAAATTTAAAAATTAATCCAGATTAATATTCCCTGTAGACTAGCTCCAGGTCTGCTTCCTTCCTGTCCCTGGTCATCATTTGCTTTTGAACCCTGCCACCAGCAAATGATTCCAATCACATGCTCTGCTCAGCTCTGCCCACCCCGTCCTGAGGCAGGAGCAGGGACCTTCACTTGTGCCTCTCCCCCAGCATCCCCAGGCAGGTCCATCCTGCTCCTCACAGCTTGACCCTGGCCAGCACCACACACAGAGCAGCCTCTGCTCTACACCAAAAGCAGTGTTCTACCACCAGCACTGTGAGTCCCAGGATGCTGAAAAATGACAGTCAATGCTAGCAAGCTAAAGAATGGCTAGATGTGAGGACCCAGAGGGCCAAAGATCTGGCTCTGCCAAAGCCAGAGTGCTCTTCTGCAGGTCAGCCAAAGCCCCTGATCCTCCAGCAGCGTGTGAAGGCAGTGCACTGAGCACAGCCTGCTCCATCCCAGACCTCATGGGTGTCTGAAAGACCAAAGGAGGGTTTTTTACGAATCTGAGGCCTTCCATTTATAGAATAGTGGAAATAGAGAACTTTGTCTCTCATGCTTCTTCTCCAAGTCTGCAAGTGATCCCAGCCAGGACTGCAGAACCACACCAGAACTGCATTCCCTACCTTCCCTAGGGGAGCCAGAGCCTCCTGTGCAATGGAAAGAAAACAGCAGGGTTGGAGAGGGAGCCAAAATTTAGCAGAGGACCCCTGAAGTGCAAGATTGACCCAGTATGGCAGCAAGACACAGGACATGTCTGGCCAGGTGCCTGCACGGCCACTACGCTCTTGTGGTGTCTTTCTGCCAGGTTTCTGTAAAGTCTTTACACGGCACAAATAGGGGTGAGGATTTAAAGTATATATTTACTGTCAACTTGAAAAAGAAAGTTATACTGACCAAGTCTAATAGCATGTATTTGATATATAACTATTAACGTGCCATTCTGGACTCCAGCAAATTCCACCTGAGATAAATATTCAGCATTTTTGTTCATGCACTGGAAGAAGAATTCAAACATTTTGTCCATGACATATGCAGAGTAACTAATAGTTCTGATCTATTAGTAACAGTAAATATAGAACCTTAAACTTCACTGCAGTATATTAATATATATGATTTTAAGTACTGGACTGGAAAGACAACTCTTTTTTTTCTTTAAAAAAAAAAAGCTTTGTTCAGAATGCAATATTTACATTGTCCTTTGAGCGACACTTACATTTTTACACAATGTATTTTGGCTACAGATACACCGTAGCAAAAGGCTGCGTGAGTCACCCTTACACACAGCTCACTCTTTCGCTTACAACATTACAGCTGTTTATGGAGAGCTCCGAAGTCCCCGGTTGCAGTTCCAGGCCCTCCTCAGCTTCTAGTTCCATGCTGTTGAACTCATTGCCATTTCGATAACTAGTTAAAGTCAGATCTTTCCCGTACAAAGCTGTTGAAGCAACATTCAGACACTGATTCTGCCGCAGTGCTGATTTTTTGCCGGGCTTGTATTGGCAGCGGATGTAATTGGAAAAAGCCCTGCGGTAGGTTTTGTTGAAGAGTGTGTACACCAGGGGATTAACCCCCGAGCAAACATACCCCACCCAAACAAACACATCAAGCAGTTCACTCAAGAGGTCTTTGTCGCAGGCTTCCTTGCAAAGGACAGACATGACATTAGTGATGAAAAACGGGCACCACATGATGAGGAACAAAAAGAAGACGATGCCCAGGACCTTGGAGGCTCTTCGCTCGTTGTTGATGGACTGCATAGTTCCTTTCCTGAAAAGCACTGCCTCCTTATTTACAGGGGAGTTCAAGTGAGATGCCCCCTCGTGATTGTGAAGCATTGAAATGTTCTCTGTGTTGTTTTCCTTCTTGAGGCAGTTCACACTGCTCCTCCTCTGCTTGGGCACCTCTCCACACATGAACACCGTCGCCTGTCTCTGCAGCACCTGGACGGTCAGGCAATACGTGATCACCATGATGATGAGAGGGATGAAGAAAGCCATGAAGGATCCAATGAGGATGAAGTTCTCGTCATTGAGGACACAGGTCCCGTTTACAAACACTCTGGAGTCATCCTGCAAACCAATGACCGGAATAGGCATCGATAACCCTAGAAAAATGAAACCAAAAAAGAGACTGTTACCTGGATGGATGGACAGGGCTCCAAAGAGGCAGCAGAGATGATGCAGGCCCTGCGTGCATTCAGATCACACTGCCTAAAGCTTTTTGAAGGGGAAGTTACTGCTTTCAAGGGGAAGGGAAAACCTCATTAAACAACACTCCTGGGAGCACAGCTCAAAGGGAATGACACCCTCCTCCGGGAACAGCAGCAGTTTTGCTGTGCTCCACAGTTGACTTAGTGAATGCAGCCCAACTCCTATATGGAGTTATTTTTCTAGCATTAATTGCAATTTCTAGGTGGAGAAAAGGCAGTCACTACCCTGCTCTGTGCCCAGCTGGCCACTCCATACCAGTCTGGGGGGTTTTTGAAATCACTGACACAGGGTAGAGTGGAGCAAATTTTACAGAGAAAAATTTTCAAAATCCAAAAGAATTACAGCTATGAGGATTTAAAAGCAAGTTTCTTTAAGAAATTAAAATAATACTGATTAAAAAATCACCACTCTTGCCATGTCCTCACAGGTACATGGAAGCAAAACTCCTGCCTTTCTGGGTTCTTATGGACTCCCCCAGTGCAAGCAGACAATGGTCTCTGCAAGATCAAAATCCAATATTTTTCATACATTCTGAGATCCAAACTTTGTCCCTTGATCTGTGGAGCTCAGTCCAACACCAGGACAGACATGAAATATTTCCAAAATCAACAATATATTCTGGAATATTGCATCCTGTGTGTACAGGAGAACCTGGAAAAGATGTGGTGGGCCTGTTCTAGTTAGACCATCATAGGTTCATCTACTCTTGTCTCATGTCTTTGACAGGTGCCAGAAGTTTAGGGCCATGATACAAAAGGGGACAGCTCTAAGTGTAGTAGCTTAAAAAATTCCAAACCAAGAATTTGCATCCATATCTCGTTTTTAAAACGGCTTTTCAGAGATTTATTTTCCATGAATCCTTGATCTCGTTTCTGACTGCACAATTCTCAGTGGCCTTCAGTTCCCCAACCCACCTGTTTGTCATGTGAACAAAGTAATTCTTGCTCATTTTATGTTTGCTACCTGACAATTTCCTTTGACTCCCATAAGTTCCTTGCTGTGAGAAACAGCAAATAATCACTTTCTGGTCACCTTTTCCACCTTCTCAGTGATTTTATAGACCTGTTATCATCCCTCTTGTCTGACATCTCTTTTGGAACTGAAGACTACAGTTCTGTTCACTCTCTGTCCTCATACAAACTCATTCTATGCCTTTGATTATCTTTCTCCATTTCTTTTTAAGTTCTTTTCTATCCTTTTTAAGAAAGGAAAAAAACCTGCGTATCCAAGCAGTTAGAGAGCAATAGAGTGTCTTCTGTTCTCCCCTCTGGCCACCTGGCTGTCATGGAGCACCCACTCCTCAGACACATCTGTGGGGCTGGCCATGCCCTTCCTTAGCTCCTTCATCCAAGAAATAATCCACACTGAAGCCACTGGTGGGCCTGGATTAGGGGTTTTTTTGGAGTTACTGTGAATAGCACAGGTCACAGATCTAATCCTGTGGAACTCTGAATTTCTAAATGGGAAAAGTAACATGCTAAAGAGATTAACCAGGGCATTTTTCCCACTGCAGCTAAGTGTTTTCCAGGATTCTGAAGAATTCATCTGCAGTTTGTCATTACCATAAAATTACCATGTGCCAGTAAACTAGTGAAAGAATTTCTTCTGAAAAGTAACGGTTATAAATGCCTTCTGTGATTCTACCATGTGTCTCCTTAGCTCAGACATTAGTTCTAAGATTTGCTCTTCTCTCCCTCTACATGCCAGTGTTTATCAGTTTACCCTTGGCAAGGCAGTTGTCTCCTTTTCAGTATGGTAACCCCTGTTACCTCTCCTGTGCCAAATCCCTGTGACTGCAAAACCCTTCATCCCATCAAACCATTAAATCATGGGATTTAATCATTAAATCATCATTAAAGACACCATTCTAATGCCTTGGCTCCATCAAACCACAGACATCTGGGAAATGGAACTTGGATACTGGTAAAGCAGTCTCTACACAAAGATGAAATCTGAATTAAATCAATGGCATTACACTGGGATTACATTTGCATGAATAATTTTATGCTTTAGTGACCTCTATAACACCCACCCTTTGAAATACTCCAAAATGAATACAAGTTCATTCATGAAGTAGTCATCATTTAGTTTACTGTTACTGCTTTAGCCAAGGGAAATCAGATGAGGCTTTGGGATATTTTTACATATAAAGTGGAATTTATGTGACACCCATAAAGTACATTTGGGAAGAATAACCTGGTTCTGGGATATGATGAATACACAAATCAAGAGCACTGATGGCAGCCTAAAACTCTGCATGAGCATGAGATACCTCAGCATTGATGACAGGCAGTAGGAAGAAAGCAGCAGCAGGAAGAAAGATGCCCTCAGATAAGCTGCCAACACACTTTGATTCAGCTGTCAGCCAGCATCCAGCACTGCTGAATGGGCAGCACTGCCCTCATCTCCAGTGCTTTCTTTCACCTCACACTTCTCCTTTGTAACTCATTCTTTAATACATGATTTATCACTGATCCACTGCACAGTTGAGCCTGAAAGGGAACTAAGACTGGGCACACCCTGGGCAACAGGAACTAACTTGACACCCCCCCAGTAAGTGAGAAGTGACTGTGGAAGGTCTCAGACACCTCAGAAGGGCTTCCTTCATGGGGGATTACTGCAAAAATGCTGCTGCCACAATCCCAAATGCAACAATACCTGCTTGCAGACACAGCTCACACCCTGGCCCTGGTTTCAGTAGGGGTACATTGCTCAGCTCATGCTGTGCTTACCACCAAGCATTCCATGGTGCCTGGGCACAAATGCCTGCCTAATTTGAGCTCAGCTGTTAGAACAGGATGGAGAAGGCATCCAGCTTCACTTGACTCAAGCAACCCACAGTACGAACAAAGCTGTTTTAGATGTTCATAACTTAGGAACTAGGTCAGAGAATGCCAAACTCGCTACACCAGTGAGGGTGAGTGTCTAATCAGGAAAGAGGCTCTGAAGCCAACTGCTCCCCACAGCCTTTCTCCTGCACAGCTCTCTGAGCCCCAGTGCAGAGCATTTCATGAGTTTTTGCCCAACACACTCTTCATCAGCAGACTTCAGGCTGATTCAGTGAGCTGAGTTCTCCAGCCTCGGACATATTTTCCAGTTGTATCAAATAACTTTCTAACTAAGCTGGCAGCGAATTCCCCAAGAGAGGCAGGGCTGCTCCAAAAACTTGCATTGTGAAAGTTTTACAAGCCTATTCCATATCACACTTTGCTCTTCAGAGCAAACTTGGTCCTCTTGTTTGGTATTTGAGCAGTGCCCAGGGCAACTGGTTTTGCCCCAGCAAGAAGAGACAACAGCCACCACCAGCCAGTGAGCCAAGAACCAGGTCCCTGCTAGACTCAACAGTGGGAGCTCTGTGCACCTTCTGCCAGGCAGCAGCTTGAGCAGGATATCCCTTTTCACCACACCACAGAAAATGGATGTGATTTTTTTCATCCTATCTCCTCTTTTAGCTTCTGTCTGGCAGGGCAGCAGGAAGCAAGACAGAGAGAGATCCCCTGGATTACAAATCCAATTACAACTGTTGTCCTTACTGCTTCTTGTCAGCTTTAAAGATGTCCTCAAGCCAGTAGAACGATTCACCAAATGGGGCTGAGATGATGCTGTGGACACAGAGCAACAGATGCTCTTTACAGATTCTCCATTAATAAAACAAAACCCAAATGACTAGAAATACGTGTTTGTAAAACCTGTACTCACTGCAGTGAAAAAGCTGGCTAAAAAGTCCAAATTGACATTCCCAGGATTTAGACTTAAATTAAAAACAATACAGGTTTTGTGTTTGATACCTTGTTTTCTGCAATGAAAGCCCATGAGATTGATAGAGATTACTGAAGAGATGTGGTCTTTGATGGTTATTTCCACTAAGAAAGGGAGTAAGTTCCGTTCTCCTACAAGAAGATATTTCCTCCAGGGACAACCACCTCACTAAAGAAAACAGGGATCTCATGATGCACTTTGGACCTCAGTGCCATCCTCCTGGTGCTTATAGACAATTTAAAAGAAAAAAGCAGAGAGAAATCTGTGCCAAACAAGCCTATGGCTGACACAGATGCAGTCTACATTGCAAACTCAAGAACACTGGGGAACACTGCATGTTCAAATACATATCTTTAACCTCATATTTAAACAAATATAAACCAAAAATAAACTTTGTATTTAAACTAAAACAAATCTGTTTGGTTTCTTAACAGAAGTGTCTCACAAAGTGCCTGATTCAGACAGTGAGTAGTAAACCCCAACAGCCTCCTGACTTGCACAGAAGTGTCTCACAAAGTGCCTGATTCAGACAGTAAGTAGTAAACCCCAACAGCCTCCTGACTTGCACTGTGTAAAAAAAGGAAATGGGGTGAGGAAGCAAAGCTCTTCAGATGAAAATCAAAGAATGTGCTGAAGTGTTCAAACCATTAATGCCTTTCATTACTAATGTTGCAACAAGGTGCCTTCAGGGCTGGATTAGGACTAGTTTTTTGTAACCATTCTAAAAAAGCAACAGTGCCTGCCTTGTATTGGTTTAAAGTCAAATATAAAGGGGCTAAACTTTGAAGGATCTCCCTGCCCACAGCAAGCACAACTGCAAACAGATGAATGTCATTACTGACTGTGCCTGAACAAGCTGTTGACCTTTACTTAAGCCTTGGGAGAGCACTGAACAACCCAGATGGAAAAACAGCAAAAAACCACTATAGGACAGAAGAAATAAATTATTTTCCCACCTGCCCTTCCACTTTGCTAAATTACTTCTCTTGGTTTGCTTAGCCACATCTTTCCAATGGTACATTTGACCACAGACAGAGCCCATCTGCGTGGTGGGACAGGTTTGAGCGAAGCCCCAGGAACACATTTTGACTTTTCATTTACTGCCTTCTTCATTAGCAGTGTTTTTGCCTTTTTTTTTGCCATGGCACATGTCCAAAGGTTTGTGTGCTAAGCAGGGCCTGAAGCCTGGAAAGAAATTTCTGTGTGTGTGTGTTCCTGTCCCAAAATGCAGTCCCTCAGCTACCACCTGGCAGGGAACTGAAGGTGCTCAGGAGCAAACACTTCTCATCAGCACGTGTGCCATGGAAATGCCTGGCTGAGAAAGTCACTGATCTGAGAGACACAATGATGGGCAGAAATACAAATCACACCCCTAAACATGCTCTGAAACCATGACCCAAGGGAGGCTACATGAGTTACTCCAGTCACCCTTTACCTCCACGCACAACCTGCTCCTAGTCTGTAAGGAGACCACAACTCCTTTTGTATCAGTGGTGCCACTCCAAGCACATTCCTCAAACTGAGGATTATCTCCAGTGAGGTAGGAGAAGGCTTGATTTGTACCTGGAGGCTCTTTAAGGACATCATTAGGACAGCTTTCATGCATGAGGCTGCTCAGCTGTGTGAGAGAACACCCAGGGCAGAAACAAAACACTGTTAGACATAAGACCACTTAATCTGAGATGAGCATTTACTGATCCTTACAGCACATGTCTTTCATACTTCTATAAATAGATCACCTCAATAAAACAATGGAGTAGTATGAAAGTTAAATGGGGATGTGAATTTCTTTTTAAACATGAATAGTTTATTTTATACACAAAACTTTCAGTACCTACCTGAAATCAGAACTATCATATCATTAGTGAGTCAGAGAAAGAATGAAAATGTTTTCAAACACACAAAAAAAGACATGTGGGGTCTGCTTATGGCACTGATACAAAGAGCAGAATTTAAAGGATGGCCTCATCTCAACCACTTATCAAGTAAATTGAATTTACCTTGTTACTAAGGATGTAAAACTGTGAGCTGGAAAATTGGTAGCATGTGTAATTTCAACACTCTCTAGTAAATGACCAAACCTTGAACTTACTGGGAAGCAGAGGAAAAACTCTTCTGTGCTAGCAGGCATACAGCTGGACCACGAGAAACCTCAAAACTAAAACAGTTTGCTTATTTTCATATCAGAGGCAATGTGTGTGCATCTCCACATATTTTGTTTCATTTAATATTACCCAGTTAACACTCTCTCCTGTATGACATGGTGTGCACTTAGGGTTTGAGTAGTTCCTCATCACTCCTCCTGAGCACTGCAGGGGGGTCTCCACTCACTGCCAGAGTGGCCCAAAGCCACCCTCCTCAGAGCAGGACAGAGGGAATCCTGTGGGATGGTCAAGTCCACGTGTTAGTTGTGAAAACTTTGAAACTGTGCAAAGTCTGAAATCTTGAAACAATGCCAAGATTCCACCAGCAGGCTCACGCCTAAAATTGATTTTCGATATTTCTGTTGCCTACATTTCTATTTCCAGCCTCAGCACAGTGCTATCTATCACAAAACTCATTTTTACAAGCCCAGCCCTCCACAGTACCCACTTTTTCTCTAACTGAGCACAAAAGTCTTGCTCAAGTTACATTTGCTAAAGCACAGGACAACTGGCTGTGATGTACTTAAATCTGGAACAAAGAGGACTTGGAAAAGACCCATTCATAAAGAAATTGTCAACAGACCAGAGGACTCTGTTATGTTCCCCTGTTTAAAAACCTAATCATAGGTTTAGGCTTGTGCAACTTGCCAAATTTGTAGCTCAATGAGCAAAGAACCTCTTTTAAATTTTGCTGCCAGCATTAACATTTCAGAAAAATGGAATGCAAAAGCTACCAAATTAAGATAAATTACATGCTTTTCCCTTCTTATTCTGAATTCTGATTCAGAAACTGAATTCAGGATTCTTTACATGGAATGCATGTCCAAGTCTCTTCAGCTGAAGCAGTGTTTATGCAAACTGACCATCCTGCACTTAAGTGCTGCTTCGAATTTGCTCCTTAATCACACACAAAAATGTACAAATTCTTTTGTGATACTTAACACTGAAGTGAGGATTTACTTAACCTATTTCATCCTCTTGAAAATAGCATGGGATTTCATCAGGCCTTTCCTAGCTAGGAGCCAGAAAACAGCAACAACGACCTTTTGGTAAGTTCTCTTTCATTCCATGCTCAGTTTATTCCTGTGTCTGTCACATTTCTAAATCCATTTATGAAGTAAATATAGTTATGCTAAAATAAGACAGATACATACCAAGAGTACTTTTCTTTCTCCATTTAATGCAACCTCCTAGAGAAAGCCTGAGTAAATGAGTGAACCCTATCATATGCACTGGGGAGGGTGGAAATCCAACCACATTTCAGTGTCCTGAACAGTCTCTCAGGGAAGTATTGATTCTGCCTGTATCTTCAGAAAAAGGATGCAGCCAAAGACTCTCCTGGGCCAGCTTGTCTGCATCAAAGAGAACCAGCAAAATCTAAACAAGGCCTGGACATGCTTTACACTCTCCCAGCTGTGATCCCAACACAGGAGGGCACACAGGTACAGCTGCAATGTGTCTCCCCAGCCTGGGGAGGGAAGTGCTAAAAGCTTTGTGCACTGCAGACACCTCACTGAGCAACTGCTCACAGCTTCTTCCTGAAGATTTTTGGATGCTGGGGAATAACTGCAACATCCATTGCCTTATGGAGGGGTGACAAACTATGTGCTCACAAAAGAAAAGTGCCATTCAATCTTCTTTCCAAGCTATGTCTTTTAGCCTTCATTGTTTCACCAGTTTCACATCCTATCATAAATGCATAGTTGTTAAACATCTCCTGAGAAAGCTGGGCAGGGGTGAGGTGCTGGGACTCTACAGCAACACAAAGTCACCTTACCTAGCCTGGCTTAAGTACTTTTTTCTCCAGGGTACAGTAGAGTCCATAATGTGCCTATTTTCCATCATCATGAACCCAATCCCCACCAGGAACAGATGGGTCTGTGGCAGTCTTTACATCTGTTTGGTCAGGCACCATATTCTCTTACAAGTCTGCTTACTGAGTAAACCATGCATGAAGTACTTCATCCCTTGGACCCATTGTCCAAACCACAGCTTGGTCCTCAAGGCACTAACACAGGCAGCCACCTCCAGCACTAGCCAGAGTTTCTAAGGGTGTGTCTGCAACACCTGAGAGAGCACAGGCAGAAATCTGCAAGCTAGCTCCAAAAATGGAAACAGAAGCCTTATTGATGAGATTTTGCAATGTACTACTTAATGCTGCTGATGGATTTATACATCTCTGCTGGGGGGGATGTCTATCAGCTGCTCCCTCTGCCTTACAGTGGAACATGGAATTCTGTGCTGATCCTGGACTTTCCTTGCAAATCGAGCCCAAGCATCCCACATGTGAAGTTGTTCACAGCTCATGTGCTGAATTCAGCAGCTCTCTTTCCCATGCCAAATAGACAGCACAGAGAGTTTAAAAGAATAATAATATAAAAAAAAAATCTTAAATGAATTGATTAATCCAATTTCACTGTGGGTTGTATTACCTAGAGGAAATGAAGCAGGCTTGTGACACATGAAAATTTGTTTTTAATAGACATTATATACGTGAGGAGAGAACGTATATTTCCCCCAATATTTTTTTGCTCTTTTACATAGCGTTTTTCCAAGGCAAGCTTCCCCAAAAAATGGTCCCTGCAGCACCCATACAACCAGTATCATATTCCACTTCTCAAGCAGGCTAAAACTCAAGAGAAATTCAAGCACCTGAAACATGCTTTTCCTTGCAGTACAGCACTGATAGCGAGGAACGCTTTATAAAATAAAAATTAAATGTTAAATCTTTGTAAGACTGCATTTTACTCAAGCACAGAAGGCAATACAACAGATGGAAATGGTCATGCAATTCTGACCCTGCCTCAAATGTCTCTTTCCTAAAGCACATTGAAAGAGTTCCGAAAAAACTGTTTTTCTTCACATAATTCCTGATATTACAAAGCCATCTCAGTATCATTTTGCCTTTTCTTCCTATTTTACTGCTGCTTTATTTATTGCTTTTTATCAGAGTGATACAAACGTGTCTTCTTTTATGCCTGCTCCTCATTTACTATGATTTCAAACTTGCTAGCTCAGTACTAGCAGCACTCCAGCTGTGGCAGAGCACAATACCGGCTATAAAGGCTGTGCAAGAGCAGTAAATACCTCGCTGATAGCCCGCCTGCAATTCCGTGCTGCTTCACTTAAACCATTACCAAAACTTGAGAGGGTTTAACTGCGGCGACTGCAGCGCAGTTTGTGCTGGCTGGGTTTTCCTCCCAGAGCCTTTGCTAACGCTGTTTTCTGCTTTGTTTCCGCAGCAGTTTTACAAGCACCGTTTGTCTGTGTTGCTGTTGTTATCTCGGCATATTGATACGTGTGCACGGCAGCGAATGGAATGTGGTCGTGGTGGTGGTGCTCTGAAAAATGACACCTTGTTTTGGTCACTGACCAGCTGCAAGGAAAGGTTTCTATTTTCCCGGTAATCGGTTATTGTATTCAGGCATGCAGGCCAGGTAAATTAATTTGAGCATCCTCTTAATAAAAAAAAAAACAAAAAAAAACAAAAAAAAAAACCACAACCCTAAACGAAAATTGGAGTAACACTATCATTCATTCAGACACAGTTTAAGATCGTGAGCCGTGTTGCTTACCTATGGATATGGTCCAAACTGCAGCAATTTTCATAATGGCCTTGGTGCGGGAATTGAAGCGGCTGTGCTCAATGGGATTGCGTATTGCTACGTACCGATCAAGAGAGATGGCACAGAGATGCATAATAGATGCAGTTGAAAAGAGCACATCTAGGGAAATCCATATAGGGCACAACTGTTTAGGCAAAGGCCAAGCATAATCTGAAACATAGAGAGAAAAGAAATGAAAGGAAAAAAGGAAAAGGAAGTGATTTGGGGAGCTAGGCCGTCGTTTCTGGGAAACCGTCGGGGTGTTTTAACTCTGCGACACCAGTAAGGGGCACGTGCATGAGGAGGGGACAAGAAACCTCTCACAGGACCTCTCCACAGGCAGTCCCTGGCTCTGGACACTCCATAAACCCGCGACCAGTTCCCACACATCTGATTTCTGTGAGCAGTACCTAAAGGGCAATGCCCTCAAGTGACCTCTCTCTTAACCTTTCCACAATATCTTTAGAAAATCAAATATTACATCCCTCTGTTACTGCCTCATCACGTTCTTTTCATGGGTTGCAAAGCCCTTTGTGGCATTAACTTCACTCAGATCCCTTCTGAGGCTCCCTTGATCTGTACAGCTCAGTTCCTGTCTGCTGAGGAGAAAGGCAGCAGACAGTTCTTCTGCACAGCCTAACACAGCTACACGACACTACTCCACCTTTTCTCCCCAGGCAGAGGAACACTTGCCTCCTTACAGAGCAGCTGGGATTGAGAGGCTGAAATTTGAAAGCTGTTTTGAAGGTAGACAGAGCAGAGTGTTATTCTTTACAGAAACAAGTGTGCCAGCAAACAGAACAGACTAGATAGTCTGACAGCAGCTGGCACGCAGCTCATTTGGGTGCCTGCACTTATTAAACTGTTCATTCAGTGCTGAAGTACAGCTTGAGAGCAAAAGTGACCCGGAAAGATCCTCAAGGGGCAGTTGTATTTAAATTAAAACTCAGGAAAAAATTGATTTGTGAATGATACCCCCATGTCAATGCCCAGAATGGATTGTGTGAGATCAATAACAGAGCCCTGCCAAGCTCTGGGCTTCTTAGGAAAACAAAATCAAGAGTATCTATAGCAGCTGAAAACACGAGAGACTTCATAATAGTTGAATAATGAGATATTCTTGTGTCTTCATTCAGAACGTGGATATCTAAAGCAATCTTGAAGTTTACCCCAAGGATCAGAATCACCACTCTGCAGAATCAATGTTATATTAAGAATGGTGCAGCTCCATCCCACTGATCTTGAATGGAAAAGATGAAACATTAGCCTCAGAAATCATATTTTGAAACAAATTACCCAGCCAAGAGAGACCCAGGATACCTTTATGTAGAAGCCTAAGATGAACTGAACCAGAGTAAATTATTATGAAATGTCCCACAGAAGCCCAGGAACCTTTCACAAAGAGCACAGCGGAACGAGATGGACACATTAGTTCATTTTACCAGGAAACCCACAGATGAAGTGCTAAGTACTCACCAAACCCACACAAGACCCCAGCTCTGGGGAGATAAGCCATTAATTTCAGCAAGTTTGCACCACTTCTACTAAAAGGACTGTAAGTGGACTGAACTCCACAGCAACAAGCATTTAAGAGGTCCCTAGTGAAGGGAAATAAGTAAAGCACTTTGTGGCTGGAGCATCTTTATTTAAAAAGACAGCTCTGCTGTACAAATGAATTGAGCTTGGTTAAATTATGAGTCAGCCCCTTTATGACACTACGATCAAACTTCACCTCCTGCTCATGTTCACACTTTGCAATTGCTCAGGACATCATTGCCATCAGCCTGCAACTGAGCTCAGAGCTCCAGCTAAGCACACCTCAGATTAGCTGGGTCTTTAATGATGCCTCAGTGAACGCCCCAGGGAAGAACAAGCCTGAAATCCTACAAGTGGCAGCCGTACTCCCTGCACAGCCCCAGGCTCTTGCTGCCAGCCCGTGCTAAAGTACATTCAGCACATTTTATACCTCACTACTTCTCCTCTGCGTTGCCAGAGCCAGCTTTCTGCTACAGGCTGAAATGAGCCACGAGCACAAAGCCCCTGAGTGTGTCCTGATGGAGGAAGAGACCCCTGGGGATGTGGGCAGGGTGATCATGACTGTGCAGCAGCCTCTGCACGGGGGAACAGTGACATGGATGGCTACTGCCCATATCACACAGACAGGCAGGAAATCTCCAGTGTCTCCAGAAAGAGATGCCAGGCCTCCAGGCTTCCTGTGCGTGGGAGCATCTCCAATCTGATCCATGGCACTGCAGTGGGTACGATCTTATTCCTGACATTTGCTAGACCTGGGAGAGGTTTCTACAGCAACCACCTTTTCAGCATTATTGAATGATGAATAGCCTCTCTTACTTCTTCTTTTGAGCTACCCAAATGCTTCCCGTGTCCCCCTGGAACGACTTCTGCTATTGATGTGAACCAGGCAGAGCACTGCAACCAAAAATACCAGGAGAAGCAAAAGCAACAGTAAATATTCACACCCACGGTGTGAGGCGAGGAGGTGTCACCTGCTGTCAGCCCTGGCACTGCAGGAACCAGCAGATCCGGGTAACACTGCCCAGAGTTACTGCCCAGGCAACCTGTCAGGAAGTTTTGGAAGATAAAGGTGATACAAGAGCTCTCCTAATGCCTAATCCTTTTAGCTTTTGCTGTCCCAGGGTGCTCTGTTACGCTTCTAGCTGAAAAGCCAGTTATAGGAGGAGACGTTTTACTTTCTCAGGAAGTTCCCTAAAATGATCTGCAATAATACAACGTCACTCCAGAAATTTGTAGAATGGCAGCTTGTAACACATCACTATACCTTGATAGGAAGGGTATAATACATACTCTATCTCAAAATGTAATTATTTTTAAGTAAGAATGGTGTGTGCGCTTGAAAAACACCTACACAGCCTACGAAGCCAGGAATTCATAAAAAATGAAAAACAGATTTATTCTAACTCTGTTTTGAATAAATGTGCAAAACATAGGAAATGTGCCCTGTGACTGTGCCAAGATGCAAAAAAGGATTAAAAAAATATTCTGTTAATGATGTTATACCTTCAAAGCAATCTTATCCTTAGAAACACTCTATCTGCAGAACGTAACAGTTCTCTAATTTGTTCTATTTTCTCTCATTTCACAGACAAAGAAGAGCAATTACCATATATTTAGAAGAGCAGATGACTGAGTGAAGTGAATTCTTGGACCCTAGCACTTCTAAGATTGCATTTCCAACAGAAATCAAGTATTTCAGTCCAAATTTGGCTCCAGAAAGAACGAAACAGTGCTAAACACCTGGGTAAGCAAAACCCAAATTCTTTGTAAGAAGCTCTGATTTTTATCTTGAAATAATCTGTGCCCTTAAAATCATATATTTAATGCACTGGCTGGTAGGCCAGATAGGAGAATGCTGAAGGGAATTAGATGAATCCAGCAGATCAGAACAGAAGTTTGTATTTCTTTACCCAGCATGTAATCAAACTGCAGGGCTTTTTGCCTCCAGACATTTTGTGAATGCCAGAAGTTTACACTGGACAAATTCACAGAGAAAAGGACAGAGCAACAATATTACTTTTAGATCAGTCTTGGCTTCTGGCTCTGGTCAGAATAAAACACAGTGTATAAAATCCAGGCAGGAAACTTCTGCAGAATATTACTTCAGCCTCCAATGCTGAGTAGCATCTCATGGAATCAGAATTCTTCCCAGGACACATGGAACAAACACTCATATTTAACCAGGAGTCATGGTCCCTAGGTGGGATTTCATCTCCTGCCCTGGGATGAAAAAGCAAACCACAGTTCCTGTGTGTCACTGAACAGCTGAGATGAACACAAAGTGTTGGCAACAAAATACAGAAACTCAGAGGCATTTTGGCAAAGTCACAGAGCATCTTTGTGTGTAGATAATTTCCTGTCGGATAAGAGATTCCTTACATGTTTTGTGCTTTCCATCAGGAAAGATGGCAGCTATGAAATTGGATTGCTTTTGTTAGAGGTTTAATGCATGTGGGTTAAAAGTGTTGCTTAACACTGTTATTATGGTGTTGTACTCTTCACTGCATGAGAGTCAAAATTACCAGACGCTGTAGCAGGAGATGACTGAATAATCCAAAACACATCAAATGGAATCAAAATTAATTATGTCAAATGGTAAAACAGAATTGCTCCAGATTGTAGGAGAATGATTGAACTGGAAAAAAAATAATAATTAAAAAATGTCTGTTGCTGGTACAAATTAAGTACTATAATGCAATCTGCTCCAGTATATCTCCTGGGAACATGTAGTGTAACACCTAGGACAAATCTGGAATAATAGCAACAAAATACTTGCTTACACCACAATAAAGCAAAGAATTATGTAAAATTTATCCCCGTAGCTTCAGGAGTTATTAATGGGAAACTCACAGTAAGCTGCATCAATCGTCTCTTTTCTAACCACAAGCATGAATTTGGAAAAGGTTTCAAAACACTGTTGTGTGCTGTGGAATAAAGCCTACCCTTGCCCACTGCTAAAAGTCTTTTTACCACCACTCCACCACTGATGCAACTGAAGCATTTTATACTAACCAGAATTTCCAGTGTTCACTTTAAAGTTTCATGGCTGCCACAGCCTTTACAAAAATAGAAAGCAATTACACACAGTTTTAACATTACTGCATTGCATTATTCCCAAGGGAACGAAAGAATTTAAATTATTCTCTTCTCTCTCTTATCTAGGAAATAAAGAATTTCTTAGCTTTACTCTTACTGATGTGGTATTTCAGGCTATGTTATCTCTTTTCTGCTAGTTTATTTTCTTCAGATTTACATGGACAAATGACTCTGTATCAGCCTGAAAGTCACACAACCAAGGGTGCTGAAAAACTCCATCATGCCCAAGAAGCACAGGATGTCTTGCTTGACCCCCTGTAGTCCTCAGTGGTTGTCAGCACATCCACAGAAGGGCCCAAGCACGTGCAGCCAAGCCTCCTGGCTGGAGGAACAGCTGGTCTCAAGGGCAGCACTGCCAATGCTGTTTGATTTTATCATCAATATAGTGTAATTTAATGTTTTTTCCAACATATTGAACTCCTGGGCACTGGGTTACATGAGAAATTAAGTTTCTAGCCTGCATTTTCTAGAGGAAAAAAAGGCTATCCTAATGCTCTCTGAATCCCTTAAATAGAACATATTCTAGCACAGCCAAGCAC